TTTGTTATAATTCTTTTGTTAGTTTCTATGAGTGTTTTTTTTTTGCATTTTTATACAAACTTTTATAATTTTTTCTATAATTTTTACATACGTATGTATGTATATTTCCATATATTTTATATACCGTTACACTTACCAGTTGGAAAATACGCACGTAAATCGTTGAATACCTCCTTCATACAGCCATCGAATTCGGCGCTGCCTGTTTTACACCTGCCCAGAAGACGTGCGAAGTCATCATCAACTGTGATTTGACCCTGTGCCGCTGCGCCGAGATTTGTGTTCACGCAGGTGATAACTATTACCATCAAGCTGCATTGCAGCAGCCACTTTGATATGATCGCAAGCAGAGTAATGCGTCTGCTGCGCAAGTCGGGTTGCGCATACGCAGCAGTCACTCTGCCCAGATGGCTGCTGCTAATGCGGCTATAACTGTTGTTTTGTCTATTGCTGTTGTTGTCGGCCATTGCAAATAATTGCGCCTCAACGCCTTTTATATTACAAGTAATCTGTGTCTTACGCTATTTTACGACTTGCACGGTGTTAATTACTCACTGGCCGAGGTGGAAGCTGCGAAAGAGTCATAGACGAACATACATGAGCAAACGAATGATAAGTGTGTGGCAATAAATATGTACTTGAGTATTTATAAAAAATATTGTAATAATTTTTAAGACAACAGTTCACGTCTTCATTATTTTTATGAGTTATTTAATTTGGTAAATGAAGGCAGCAACGCTTGCGAAATCATCTTTTATTTGCCATGCAGTTGTTTTTGCAATTCCACATCAGGTGCACACCATCGTTAAATGCAAACGCCAACGATATTGGTGTGTAGCAATCGCAAAAGCGTTGAACTGTTTGTGCGCAATTGCGTATTCAAAAGCATTTTTTAGCGTGCAACAAACAACTATTTGCATGCCTATGGCAAAGCTGTGCAAAATTTGCTGAATTTTTGTTCCTACAACCGCTTGAAGCTTGCAAAAATTGTAGCGTGAAACTTCTATGGCGTTCTCTTGTGCAGCTGTGCAGTTCGAGTTGGATTTCAAAATTCTAATAGTTAAATTTAGATATTCGTAGAATTGCCAATAACTACTGCTATGACGAACTTTTTACTTCGTGATTAAAAGTTACTCCCAACATTTATACAGTCGCAAAAATATTTTTCTCATTGTCTTAAGATTTAGTCTTATAGATATGTATTTTCGTTTTTTTTTTCGTACGAATGCTTAGTCGTTTAGTTGAAAAAATGTAAAAAACCGTAAATTAAAACTTTTGGTAACACATTTGATATTTCAAAGAGCAGCCGAGCTTCTTACCTATTTCCTTTATTAAGAATTTTTTTATATAACACAAAATTTCGTTGGCTGATTCAAACTGTTATCTCAATTCTAATCTAAACTTTGCCATTGACTCGGAACTTTTCAGAGATCTTACTGGCATCGCTGGAATATCAGAAGGATCAGTGACAACCATAAGTAAAGTGAAAGGCGATTGGTTTCAATATCACTAAATTTTTTCGAAAAACAGTTTTGCGTTAAAACGTCTCTTAAACGATGCTTTCCGATTACCAGGATGTCATGAAACGTACATTATTGGCGATGAGTCTTCGATCTATGCTTACGACCGGGAAACAGACTACTAATCGGCTAAATATTGTAGCAAATGTGAGCCGAAGCCGAAAAAACCACGTCAAAGCTGGTCAAAAATTTAGGTTATGTTGACACTTTTCTTTGATTATGGAGGTAGGGGGCACTCCGAATTCTTTCTGACCGCCCAAACTGTCAACATGGAATACTATTTGTGTATTATACGTCGTTTGCTTGAAGCTATGCGTCGATTTAATCGTGTTCGTCTGTCTGTATTTATGTGAATAAGTCGCTCAGTTTTTGAGATATCGTTCTAAAATTTTGCACACGTCCATATCTTCCCAAAATGCTGCTCATTTGTCGGAACCGCCGATATCGGACCACTATAGCATATAGCTGCCATACATACTGAACGATCGGAATCAAGTTCTTGTATGAAAAAGTTGTTCAATTTACGAGATAACTTCCTGAAATGTGGCATGGATTATTGTTCATGGCTAACACATAATCTAGGAATACATTGTTCGAAACGAACTGCTATAACACACAGCTGCCATACAAACAGATCAATCAAAATCAAGTTCTTGTATGAAAAATTTTATAATAAATAACAATTGAATTCAATAAATTTGGCACAGATTATTATCAAAAGTAATACTACAATCTCCGAGCAAATTGTTTAGATCGGACCGTTATAGAATATATGTAGCTGTCATACAAACTAACCGATTGAACTCCAGCTCTTGTATGGAAAACTGTTTTGTTTGATGAGATATGTACAAGAAATTTAGCATGAATTATTATCTAAAGCAACGGTATAAGCTCCGAAGAAATTGTTCAGATCGGCCCACTATAGCATATAGCTGCCATACAAACTAGTAGATGAAAATCAAGATAAAGACGTTTATACTTCGATGCAGCAAAAATTAACTTGTTTTCCTTTTTTTTATGATGATGTTTAAAAATCCTTTCAACCGATTTATTTGATAAGATATTCTTTTTGTTATTGTGACTGAAGCTTATGATAAAAAAAGTAACTTTGTTGTAGGCAGACGCCATATTTTTGAGATCAAATAAATTATAACAGTTATAGAATTCGAATAGAACTTAGTATATCAAATGTACGCACTCTATAAGACGCCTATCTTCGCTTAGGAAATAGTTCACGAACTTAATTTGAAAATACAACGAATATTATGTAAAATGAAAGAAGCAAAATTAACGAAATCAAAAAAT